AAACACGCATGTTAGAAGTACAGACAATTGGAACAACATGTGCAATGCACTTACACTTAACACCTTATAACATTTCTCTCACAGGGAATATTAAGATTATAACAACAATAAATCCATTTGTATAGGAGAGTACAGCAACAAAGCTAATAATCTGAGCCCACTGATCGGATTTTTACAAAATGCAGCTCTATATGAAGGAACACCAGGGAAAATAAATCAAGCTACTTTTACAGATTTCTTTTAAATTTCAGAGAGAGGGCTGAGCTCCGTAGCCTTTCGTCACCCCTATAGAATAAAGTGCTTCTGCTCCTCTTATTGCTGTGAGGTGTAGGCCGCAGGGTGGTCCAGCTGAGAGCAGCACATCTTAGCAGCTGGATTTACCAGTGTACAGCTCCCACCCAGCACCGAAAAACACACATCACTGATTAGAGACCAATCAACGCCAGGAGGAGCGGGCTGCGCTCAAGGTCCTCCAGTCTGACTGGGATTTATGTTTCAGGCTCACCACAGACCATTAGTGCTTAGGTTTAGAGTCCTTCCACTTTAAAATGAGCACCTCTCAAGCAGAGGAGAACTGTCCAATTATCTCAAACAGTTAAGCCCTTCTTCACGAGCATTTGTGCAGGGCCCTGTACAATATACAATGCCAAAGCAGGGCCCCACCTTTGTTTCTTGCTCAGCACGGTCACACACACTGCTTCCAGGATCCTCAGATTAATATAGCAGGACTCTATAGCTGTTGCTCCTGATGACACTGCGACTTGCAATCGAGCAGTACCAAGAAAGACAGACTTGAACGGGTCCTGTAGAGCCAGTAGAATTATGTAGTGCTGGAGAGGCCATTCCTATTACTTGGACTGCTGGGATCATTAACCCCTGTGCCCACAGTCACCCCATTCTTGCCCCACACTTGATCCCCCACCACCAGTCAAAGACTATCTCTCATTCAGCTAATAAGCAACCATAAGTCAATTAGTGTAACCAAATGATTGTAAAACACATTGCCTGCAAAACAAAAAGTCAAAGAACAGTAACAACAATAATACACATATACAAATGTACAGGTGGGGTTGTTCCCTGGAAGGCAGATCCCCGGCGTCCAGATTGGCAGGCTGGGTGATTGGCAGGCTAGCTCACCCAGGAAAGGGCTGTGGGATGTGGCTGCTCACACTGGCATGGGCATCTCGTTGTACTCATCCTGTCCCTCCTTTTCATCAAACGTAGGCTCTGCCTCATCTGCATCCAGCTGAAAATACATTCAGAGTATGAGACTGACAGTGTTCAAGGCCCTTTGTTTCAGGTATCTGGTTCTGTTCAGCAATCTGACTCTACAGATTTTCAGATTCTGTAATTTGTTTAATAAAATGAAGAAAAGGCTGCTACTTATTGCCACATCCAATTGTTTTCACTCTGCTGCCTGTATGAGCTTTATTTAGTAATGATAGTTCTATGTAACAGGAAAGAAGTTCACAACCTAAACCATTCCTGTTCAAAAGCCACTTGTGTAACTGTCTACATCAATTTTCATATTTGCTTTAATCATATGGGAATCTTCACATTTCTCATACAAAACACAAATCAGGGCCCCCGACTAGCTCAACAGGCAAAGCTACTCGAGTGCACATTCAGTTCCACGGTTGCAGATTCAAGCCCATCACTTCACTAGCTGACTGTGATCAGGACTTCCCAAGCGGTGACACACGACTGGGAGATCAGAGTGGAACTGGTTGGCTCTTGGCACTCCCTGCAGCTTCCAGGGGAACTAGCGGTCATGCAGTGCTGTCAGTCCAGGATGAATTCACAAAGCCTGAATAACTTGACCTCAAAAACCAACTGCACACCATGCTGAGACCTTAGTTGTCTTCAAATCATTGCCAATACCTCACCAAGAATAGGTGGAATATGTTGCAGACACATGTAGAAGGTAAACAAGCCTGAAAAAAAACATTCAGATTTTCTGTCTCAGCTTGCTTATTGCAGTAAAGCCAAAAACAGAGAAAGAGCTTTGAATTGTGACCAAGTCCTCTGTAACACAAGTAGAAGTAGGACGTATATATATCCTTGAGAAACAAATAAGCAGATGCTGTCTGAAGACAACCCTGCTGCACTGTTCCACATGTCACTTACACATTGCATCTCCCTTTCGGTGAAAATCCGGGACAGCAGGAACATCTTGACGGGCACTGTGAGGATGAGGACGAACGGGAAGGCCAGTGAGGCCACAGTGGACATCACTGCCCACAGCACAGCCAGGCACACCACCTGGATTCCTGTGAACAGGTGCATTCGCAGAGTGCGGACCTGGCAGGTGGAGACACACAAGTCAGCTGAACAGCACATGGCATGACAAGAACATCAGAACAGACATACCGGAAAACAACACAGCAGGAACTCAGCACCCGAGTGGATCATTTGCCTCATCTCTTTTACACAAACGTCCCAGTTAGTTTCACATTTGAATGTCCAACTGGGTGGAAATGACACTCAAATGAACTTGGGTTCAAATCAAGTCTTCTTCATTTGTGTAGGTGTTGATCTACAGACCACACTCACAAAACCACACAGCTTCATCCATCACACAGGGCTGAGATTCTCCAGAGCTGAAGAGCCCTTTGCTTTTCTTCCCACCAGGGAAGTTAACTCCACTATTTATATTTGTAACTGGTTTAAACTGGGGTCTGAACCAGCAGGATTCCTCAAGGGCCAATACAATCCACTAGCTCTGTCCCTTCAGCGTTGTACTTATCCAACTGTGCCAGTCTGTGTTTTTGACCCATATTTTAAAATCGTGTGCAGTCTGGAAAGAAGTGGAATAGGATCCATTATTTTAAACAAATTTTGGCTCACAAACAGACTTATAACAGCCCAGAGCTGGGAAACACTGCTCCTTGTAATAAGAGACCAGCCCCCTGTATCCCTGACCCTAGGGTGCCCTCTGACCTTTCGGACAAAGATTTGGTCGGGGTGGTACTTGGGGGGCATGAGCAGCAGCAGGATGCGGTCGTAGAGCTGGATGCCATTGAGCGACATGACTCCCATGTAGAGGAAGATCCCAAACAGCACAGCGATGGGGATCTGGCGCAGGAGATCTCCGATCACAATGGACAGACCTGGCAGGAGAGGAGCAGCAGAACAACTCAGGAGACACTTAACTACAACAGATTCTGTGCTAGGACTGGAACACTGTTCCAACAGAAATAATCTTAAAGGTATGGAATAAGCTGCCAAGCCACACTGTGGCTAAACTAAAAATGCTAATATGTAAAAATTCCACCTGATTCTTAGCAGAAACAAGGAATAAGGATTAATTCTAACTCAATGTGCAGTAACTTTATCATAAAGTTTGGCAAGCAAAGAGCTTTTCCATTGATTTCCCAGATTGGAGGACTTCGTATCTCTAAATAATTTTTCACTCATGCAGGACATTGCATGCAATAAAAGAAACATTATGAAAGACATATTGTCTCCTACTCCTTAACTGGTGCTATTAACCCAGTAGGACAAATTTGGAATATTAAAGCTGGCTCCCAGAAATAAGCAATCCAGAAGGATTTCTTATCTGGTTTACTATTACTCACTTCACTTTGGTTCAAGATCACATGGAAACAATCATGTAATAAGTGAGAACGCCACCAGGTGTCCTCATGTGAAAAATCCTCCTGGTCTTCCTCCACAAAACATTTTGACAGAAGGTAAATAGTTGCTACCCAGACTGAATTACTGTTTCTTCTAGACAAAGCAAACCACAACACACAAGTGGACCCTTGACGAAATGCATTTAAAACCAAGGATGGAAGGCACTTCTTTACTCAGCGAGTAAGTGGAGTATAGAAGCTACATTGCCATGTGGTTGAAGCTGATACCTGTCAAGAGGTGGCTGGGTGAGACACTTGAATCAATAAGCTACTAACTACCAAATGGACCAAGTGACCTCCTCTCATTTCTAATTGTTCCTTGTCTAGTGGCAAAATCTAGTTTTCATGGTATTTATTCCTCTTTCCGAACAATATATGCTCCTCCTCAAATAGTGGCCTACTGAATACTCAAACCACATTTAACCATCCTGAACCCAGGGGCCTGTGCCCATCCACATACTGTGCTATGACTTACCCACAAGAATGGCCACCAGCAGCCCTGTGACTCTCTGCTCCTTGACCTCTTGGATGCGGGGCTTGTCACCGGGTGCCACGGCCTTGCTCATAACGGTAAGGGCGTTGGCGTGGGTGACAGAGCGCACCGTGGTAGCGGCCAGCCAGGGTAGGCCGAATAGTGCTGAAAAGCCCCCCACCGCGACGATGATTAGCAGGTCCAGATGGAAACCCGAGCCCTTCACCAGCATTCGCTCCTTCTTACTGATGATCAGCCTGAGAGAGGGAGCACAGGGCAGAGGGCGATGTTGAGTACCCCACCAATACTTTTTGGAAGAAGTTATGTAAAGGTCTGTAAATTGTTCATATTTGCTTTACATACCCTTTTATTTTGATGCAGCTCTTCCTTATCCTACTAATTTACTTGCACCCACTTATAGTGGCAACACTTGTGTAACCATTACCCTTATAGTGAAGCAACAAGTTCAAGGGGAGCAACAACAGAGGGAGACAGAAAGATGGGCAGCAACTCACGCGGTGATCTGGGTCTCCATGAAGATGAGGATGAAGACCAAGATAGCGGGAAGGATACTGGCCACCATCATCCAGATGGGGAACTGCCCATTGGAGCCCAGGGGGTCGATGAACCAGCCACGCTTCTCCGGGCTCGTCACCGAGAAGCCACTGGGCACACTCAGTTTCTGTGCAAAAACACCACCACCAAGTTTCAGGATATCTGAGGCAATACTGGAGCAGTCTACCAACACAAAATCACAGACTGTAAAACCAGTGCTACCAACTGTTGTTGGAGTCAGTATTACAAAAATGACAGTGTGTGTTCGGGTGCACAGGCTTAGTCAGGGGTCCTGTGTGTAGGTGTGTTACCTGAGTGTAAGTATCCCGGATGCTGTAATCCACCAGGACCATGATTAATATGGCAATTGGAACCCCAAAATCACCAATCACCCTTCGGATCTGTGGGATGGGCAGAATAAGCCAATGAGGACATTGTTTTTACAAAACATGTTTCATTAAACCTGGAATAGAATTAATCTATGAATCACATTCCTCCATACAATAGGTAGCATCTTATTCCCGGTTAAGGCTGTGGAAACCTGGAGATGATCCAGGAAGTGTAGGGATAAGGCAGGACCACACCAAGGAAGTGATGCTCCTGCACTGCAAGGTATTCAAATTCACTCACAGGGACAATGTGAGACACCATCTAACCTAGTTAACATGTCTTAG